TTTTTTTTTTCATTTTCTTTTCTTTTTATTCTAGAAAGAGAATAACAGGCTATGATAAAGTATCATCTCGCGTTTGTAACCGGCTTACGTGGACAGCTGTATGCTACACAGATTATGCGTGATCATTTTCAGCATCAAGTTTAATACAAAGACCACCCTGACCCTGCCTGTAAGAAACGTAGTCTTTTTTTTATAATGGACTTTCAAAAGATGCTGCCATCTGATCTGACTCGGAAGCTAAAAGGTGCACATAATATTCCAATTCCTACACCACTAATAACCGGTTTCTTGCCTTTTTTATGAAAAGGACCCCCTTTTTTCCCCTTCCCGTTTTCCTCCACCCCTCCCCGCTTCTCTTTTTGCGTGCCACCAAGGTGAAATATCCAAGTCCCCTCCTGGTCCAGTCCCCTCCTGTCAAGTCACCCGGGCTCAACCGGCGTGGATCCCAAGCTAATCCAATTTTTACAACACAACATGGCGGTCGGCTGAGTAAAGTACATTTTCTCTGCCAGTGAGCTCCAATGTAAGCCAGGAACCGACAGGAATCCTTTCTATATCCTTTCTGGAACAGGCTGATGAATTGGAAGCGTTTACAACACTGGTTTTGTTGAGGAAAGGTATTTTGAAACTTGTAAAATCTTGATTACGTGTCTCATGCAGTCATTACCATAAATGCGTGATCTAAATTTCCATTCACAGCACAGCATAACACCTGCCAATTTCATTTGTTTCTTTTGTTGCAGTTTTCCTTTCAACGTAGGCAGAAAACTCTGAAAATATGATTGAATGCAAGTGTTGCAAGAATTTGTTCGGTTTCGCCGCTTCTCGTCCACCATGTTTTGTATTCACGGTTTGTCTAGCGGCTTTCGCAATTGGTTTGTTTTCACTTGGCTATTTCGTTCAGGTGTATGGCTGGTTTGACGACGTGAACGACATTCAAAACAAGGTAGTTATTTACTTGAAGTCAGTCATTTTTAGCTTCGTTTTCGTTGTGCGAAAAGTGCTTGTTTTACGATTATCATCCTTCATTCCAACTTGATGTTTTTTCAAAGCTTTCAAAGCTTTATTCCCCCTTGACATCCGTTTATTTAACAAAATATTTATCGGTGGAGAACTTTTCAAAGACTTCCTTGTTTCTATTATGCATTTTGTTTCAAAAGGTTTAAAGGATCTGTGAAAGTCTTGGCGAATTAAGACGTTATAATGTTATTATATATTATTGTTATTCAAAATTGTCTAGACCTAAGGTTAAACATAGAAAACTCTCTAATGCAAATACCCATGCGATTGGTGCTAGGTGCCCGTCTGAAGGCTGACCTACATTAGCTATGTCATTAAATGATTTGTTGCATGACAGAGCGTCAGTTAGTATCCCGCACAGCTGTTTTTGTCTTGCCATTCAATGCTTTTCCCCAAGAAATGGCTGATGCTCACATTCAAGCCACATTTCTTTCCAATTGTTTTATCACCCACTGAAATGACAAATTATTTATCTGAAACTTAAGAATGATACCAGTTTTCATGCAAAGATGGAGCTCCTCTGATTTCCATTTGTATGGAGGTGTCAACGGCACACCAGGGTTCTATTTTGTAAGAGTTATCGAGATCTCCTAAGTATGGGTCATGAAACAGGACAGGACTGTGTGGCAGATGGCAAAGCATTTTCAACTCTTCAAAACAACACAGGGATACTTTTCAGTTTGGAAGAAGGTTGTTTTTACCTAGAAACGGAATGATTTCTTCCGATAATTGGAGATAAATCTGGCAGAAGTGATTGGAATTGATGGGTTTAGGTACAAACAAGTTTTTGAGCAATTTTGTCTGCTGTTGCTCAGATGTCAAGAGCCAGAGGAGATGTCAGCACTTGACAAATGCAGGGTGCAAAGAAAGTCAGTTTCACAGCCTGCCATTCGCGCAAGCTGTAGCTAGCATGTACTAGCCCACAAGTCATTTCAACTAGCCCCCAAACCCTTTTTGATTAGTAGGATTGATTACCATCCTTCTGTAATTTGAATTTCCCCAAAAAACAGCACTTGCCCATCGGATAAGTTAAGAACAAAAATCACTAGCCCAATAGCAAAATCCACTAGCCCCGGGCTATCAGACACGACTTTCTTTGCACGCTGAATTGCCTTTGGGGGTATGGTTATGCTTGGAATTGACTGAGCCATTATGATGATGATGCAACGATCTCTCAAAACAATGAAAACCGTAACAGCCTCCGTGCAGGCTCTCCATTTAAGGGATATCAAGAGAAGTCACGCGCAAATGGCACGTGAAAGGAGTTGCAGGAGCAAGGTGCGGGGAAAGAAAGTGAAAGCTTGTCGTTTCCTCTGTCCCTCACAGCTTTGCCACTCACTCGCGCGTTCACTTCATGCTTGAAATGGAGAGGTTGCTCCCAGTTCATAACATTTCTTTGTAGTCATGCTTGTTTGCTATTCAGTGAGCCAGTTTACGTTTGGAATTCTGAGGAAAAATTCAAGCTATTTACATACTAAGCAACATCCACAATGGCTCCACATCTCCTTTGCCAACCATTTCAACCAACCCTTAATAAGTAACAATATTGCCATGCTCACACTAATCTGACACAAAAAATCCTCACGTACCGGGACGTGTAAGACAAGGATGCCCAAGTGTATGCCCCAATGGTGTCTTGTTTGACTTTTCTGCCAACCATATGAAATAGTTCTTTAAATTCAGTTTTTGATATTTTTCTCGCCACCAGCTAGAAAAATGACATGTTATGAACTCTGCATACTCTGCAAGGCCCTCTGGTTCTTGCTTTGCAAGGAATAACATATTTATCGTAGTATATCGTTTGTTGTCCAATATATATTGACATTCCTTTTTTTTGCAGGAGTGGCACTCTTTTCTCAATCACCTGGCCTCCTCTGAGTTTTGCATTTTTGGAAACCAAACCTTAAGAAATGCCACTTTTGTAAACTCAACCAACATGACAGCACCTACCCCTGCTGGTTTTACCACTGTGACTGTCCCAGTGCTGGATCTGTTTTTCACACCCTCCAAAGGGTTTGGTGGAGTGGTCAACAATGTCACCCATATAACAGTGGAAACGCCAGCCACAGAACTGGGGCTAACAGGTTTGCAGTACATTCATACTGTAAAGTTTGCAAACTAATCATTTATGTTTGTCTCTATCAATATTATATTCTCCATTTTTCCCAAGATGAGGAAAGTCATCTCTCCTTGCTCTTCACGTTTTGGGGATGTTTTGCATGCATCAATCTGCCCTTCAGTGACAGAAAATCCATACTCATGATGTAAAATCTGTCCAGAACATGGTCAGGAGCTCTGACTGGTTAACATCATAATTATTGTATATTGTCTTAGCTATTAATTGCGAATGTC